GTTTGGACTTTATTCAGCACACGGTGAGGACCCATTGATGAGTTTTGCTTTGTTTATGTAGGGAGCTGTTTGGATAGATAACATTTTATTAAATTTGCCTTTTAATGTTTTGTTATCATGAAATTAATATTCATTTTATTAAAAAAAAAAAAAACTAGGAACTACAACCCCAAATAGCAAAAACAATCTTTTTTTTTTAAAGATTTTATTTATTTGAGACAGAGAGAATGAGAGATAGAGAGAGAGAGAGAGCACATGAGAGGGGGGAGGGTCAGAGGGAGAAGCAGACTCCCTGCCGAGCAGGGAGCCTGATGTGGGACTCGATCCAGGGACTCCAGGATCATGACCTGAGCCGAAGGCAGTTGCTTAACCAACTGAGCCACCCAGCCGCCCATAGCAAAAACAATCTTAAAAAAAAAAAAAAAATGCTGGAGAAATCTTGCCATTTGCAAGGACATGGATGGAACTAGAGGGTATTATGCTAAGTGAAATAAGTCAATCAGAGAAAGACAATTATCATATGATCTCACTGATATTTGGAATTTGAGAAACAAGGCAGAGGCTCATAGGGGAAGAGAGGAAAAAATGAAACAAGATGAAACCAGAGAGGGAGACAAACCATAAGAGACTCTCAATCTTAGGAAACAAACTGAGGATTGCCGGGGTGGAGGAGGGTGGGAGGGATGGGTGATGGCCACTGGGGAGGGTATGTGCTGTGGTGAGCGCTGTGAATTGTGTAAGACTGATGAATCACAGACCTGTACCCCTGAAACAAATAATACATTATATGTTAATTTAAAAAAAAGAAAGAAATTCCAATTTAAAAAAAAATGCTGGCGGCATCACACTTCCTGATTTCAAAGCCTATTACAAAGCTACTGTAATGCAAACAGCGTGGTACTAATATAAAGACAAATATATAGATCAATGGAATAGAATAGAGTGCCCGGAAATAAACCACATATATGGTAAATGATTTTTGACAAGAGTTTGAAGACCATTCAATGAGGAAAGGACAATCTTTTCAACAAAAAGTGTTGGGAAAACTGGATATTCACACATAAAGTTACCCTTACCTTACATCACATGCAAAAATTGACTCAAAATGGATCTAAGATCTAAACATAAAGGCTAAAACTAGAAACCTCTTAGAAGAAAACACAAGGCGAAAGCTTCATGACATTGGATGTGGCAGTGATTTCTTGGATATGACATCAAAAGCACACGCAACAAAAGAAAAAAATAGGTAAATTGGACTATATCAAAATTTAAAACTTTAAAAAAAATTTTAAAATTTGTGCATCAAAAGACATTATTAACAGAGTAAAAAGGCAACCATGGAACTGGAGAAAATAATTGCGAATCGTATATCTGATAAGAGGTTAATAAATTATATATATATATACACACACACATATATGTACATACATATATACATATACAATATATATAATCTCCTAAATCCCAACAATGAAAAAACAACCAAATTAAAAAATGGGCAAACTGAGTTGAATGGTCATTTCTCCAAGGAAGATATACAAATGGCCATTAAGCACATGAAAAGATGCTCAACATGACTAATCAGTAGGGAAACGCAAGTCAAAACCCCAGGGAGATCCCAGTTCGCATCCATTAGGTGGCTATTACTAAAACAAACAGTAAATGAACAAGTATTGTGAGGATGTGGAGAAGTGAGAAATCCTGTTGCTGGTGGAAATATGGAGAAGAGTATGGCAGTTCCTCAACAAATTAAAAATAGAACTACTATATGATCCAGAAATGCCACTTTTGGGTATACCCCAAAGAACTGAAAGCAGAAACTCAGAGATTTGTACACCCACGTTCACAGCAGCATTACCCACACAGCCAGAAGATGGAAACAACACAAATGTCCATTGACAGAAAAATGGATAAGCAAAATGTGGTGTATTCATACAACAGAATATTATTCAGCCTTTTAAAATTTTTATTTAATTATTTATTTTAGAGAGAGAGAAAGAGAGCAAGCAGGGAGAGTAGGGAGGCGGAGAAGGGGAGGGACAGAGGGAAAGAATCTCAAGGACACTCCCTGCTGAGCAGGGAGCCTGGAGAGAGGCTCAATCTTAGGACCCTGAGATCATGACCTTAACTGACTGAGCCACCCAGGTGCCCCCAGAATATAATTCAGCTTTTAAAAGGAAGGAAATTCTGACACAGGCTACCACACGATGAGCCTTGAGGATATTATGCTGGGTGAAGTAACCAGTCACAAAAAAAAAAACCAAAAAACAAAAAACACAAATACTGTACAATTCCACTTAGGTGAAGTACCGAGAGTAGCCAATAATCAAATTCACAGACAGAAAGTAGAATGATGGTTGCCAGGAGCTGGGGAGTATCTAATGGGTACAGAGTTTCAGTGTGGGAAGATGAAAACAATTCTGGAGCTGGATGGTGGGAACAGTGTCACAACAATGTAGGTATACTTCATGCTCCTAAACCACACTTAAAAGTGGTTAAAATACTAAGTTTTGTGTTATTTGAATTTTAGCACCAAAAAACCCCACCTGCGAACACAGAAAAGCAAAGAAAGTTAGAGCTCTACACAATATCTCCCTGTTCCTACCAAGTATAATACTCTGGAGTAGTAAATGGGAGAATACCAGATGTAATTCAATTTGTGCTTGAGGCAGTATAGAAAGAAGGATGGATTTCAGCAGGACAAAATCAAAGGCAGGGAGACTGGTTAGGCGGTGATAGCAAAAAGCCAAAAGATGAGATAAGCTTAGACTAGGGCAGTGCTAGTTCATTGCTAAAAAGAACATACACACTAGAAATATATTTAGGACCTAAAATGAGCAAGATTTGGTGAGTGACCAATGGTGAGGATGGAAGAAATGAACCCAGGTACCCAGCTTTAGAAGTCCAGTGAGTAGTGCACCATTACTTGAGACTAGATACATTGGAGATGCACAGAGAGACAGAAAACATAAATTGGAAATTTTAAGTAATTTAATCAAAATTTAAAATCATTCAATTAAAAAGTTAATAGTTGGGAATGTGTGGGGCGCCTGGGTGGCTCAGTTGGTTAAGCGACTGCCTTCGGCTCAGGTCATGATCCTGGAGTCCCGCGATCAAGTCCCACATCGGGCTCCCTGCTCAGCAGGGAGTCTGCTTCTCCCTCTGACCCTCTTCCCTCTCATGCTCTCTGTCTCTCATTCTCTCTTTCTCAAATAAATAAATAAATAAAAATCTTTAAAAAAATAAAAAAAATAGTTGGGAATGTGATTGCGGTGGTTTCTTAATGTGTTGATTTGGTTAAAATGACTATTTCCCAGAACTCTCCTCTTCGTATGTTTCTGGTTAGGGTGGACTAAAGAGACATTTTATGTGAGCTTCGGAAAGCGAAGGGAAGAAGCAACCATGTTTTCACGCGCATAAGGTTGGTGCAGAAGCAGGAGGCATGGATGGACCTCATGCTCATTGTCAATGATCTACCGGCTCATCTCCTTGGTGTGGGGCCGCAGCCAGTCCTGCAGCTGCTCCACGTCCTCCTGGGTCTTCCTTCACCTTTTCCGACTCCTGGGACAAGTGAGTATTTAGCTCCATAGCAAAGTAGGTCAGCTCCTCCTGTCGAAGCTGGAGGTGATGAGAAACCAATGCAGGCTCCAGTCCTTCTTCATGGGCCTCCAGCTCAAGGCTCTGGGTTCCAGCCCGTTCCTGCTCTTCCTCCCCCACTTTACCTCCTCCTTCTCTTCCTGACTTTCCGCCCTGCAAACTTCGCGCTCTGCACCAGGCACAGAGAACACGACCTCATGGAGACCATGTAACCACATCTCACAATGGTGTGAGGTCTAATCTCAAGGGGTTTTGCTTCTTGGATTGAAAATTCTCTGATAGAGAATTTAGTGCTGGACAGGATTCCAGGGTCTAGGGCCCAAAGGATGAGTTCTCTGAATAGGTTCTGGGTTATATGGAATTCATTGTCTGATTTTGTTAGACTTAAAGGTGGTACTAATGGCCCCGGTTTCCAGTGGTAAAGAAGACACTAGTACTATGTGGCATGAAGTGACAAAAACAGTTACACAAATTGTCATACCTTGCCACCTTTAATCAAATGCTTATAGAACAGGGTTGGCAAACTTTTTCTGGAAAGGGACTGATAGTAAATATTTTAGGCTTTGTGAGCCACAGCCACTCAACTCTGTGGTTGTAGCTCAAAAGCAGCCATTAGACCATAAGTATATGAATGGGCGTGGCTGTGTTCTGATCAAACTTTATTTACAAAAACAGAGAGCAAGCCAGATTTGGTCCGGGAAGCTTAGTTTGCCAACTTCTGCCATAAAAGGTAAAGCTTTGGGTGAACAAGTGTCTGCTGCAATAGGATATTTTAGTGACAATACGAGCTATAATAGGATTGATTGGTTGCTTCTAAGTGTGCTGAAGAACTTAGAGAAGGAAATGATGAACTCAGAGCTTTCCATTCTTATTCTTAGCTCAAGGTCCATATAGGGGATCTGAAATCATCTATGAGCACCCTAACAGAATCCTGACTGGTACAGTGATGAGAAAACTGAAATCAGTAGGTAAGTTGCGGGGAAACTGAAAAAGGAGGGATAAATGTGTAGGCAAGGCAATTTGGGACATGCCAAGTTTGGGGTGCCTATGGGGTCTCCAAGTAGTGATGCTTAGCAGGCATCCACGTGTACATGATGGTTATAATCACATAAAGAAATGAGATAACCAGGAGGGGGAAACAGAGAGAAAAGCAAGGAGCTAAGGCAGAACCCTGAGGGACCCAACCTCAAGGGACGGGCAGGGGAAGAGGGACCCGTAAAAGAGTCTGAGAATCTAAGACCCCTTGAAGAGAGGAGCCTCACGGAAGCCACAGAAGTGGAGAGTCTCAAGAAGCTGTGAGGGACAGCAATAAAACTGGGTCTGGTTGAGGTTGAGAAATTTGGTGAGTCAAGATTGAAAGAGACAGGAAAATGGCTCCTGCCTTCAGAAGAAACAACTGGAGAGGAGAAGCAAGAGGCGAATTTTAATGTAAGAGGTTTATGTTCCCGCTAGCATCTCCTTCTTTAAATAGCCATTGAACTGGGGGATGATGCACAGAGGTCAGACAAAGGAGAAGTGGCTGTGTGGCTCCCTTCCACGTGGGCAGAAGGACTGCGTGAATGGGAGGCAGGAGCTGCAGGAAGCTGCCTGGCGGCCTCCATTCTTTTGATGCAGTAGCAGGCGCCATTCGAGAGACAAGTGGAGGGCTATGTGGAGAGTTTGAAAAGAGAAGTGAAGTTTAGGAACAGTCACCTAAGGGTGGGGAAATCTGATTTACAGCAGTGCAGACATCATACCACACAGCCACACAGATGCCCTTGGTCTTCAACGTAGGCCGTGAAGGGAGCATTTCTCTTACGCACGTACTTATAATACCAGACGTGTTTGTCCTAGACCAGATCAGTTCTTAGACTTGAAATTTGTAATGTGTATTTCTCTTGGTAACCATGGAAGATGGAAATATAAAATAAAAATTTTTCTGGTTTTTAGCAGCTCCAAGAGCATCCTTTTAAATTCTTAATTCTCTAGGGGAATTGTCTGACCACTCATACAGATGAGCTAACCAACCTGCATAAATACAACAGTATTGACTCCCACAATATCTTACCAAAGTATTACTTGCAGATTTCTGTTTATTTCACCATGAAACTTCTTGGGATTTGTTCTTGGAAAACTGCAACCAGCCTTCTGAAATGCCAGGTGAGTAACTGTGTAGCTGTATGTCTACCCCTTCACAAACTCAGTTTTCTCCTGATAAAAGAAAACATAAAAACCAGAATTTGGAATGCAATGGGAAACTGAAATCAAAAGTCTATTGGTAGGTTCCCCCACGAGGTTATAATATCTAGAATGGTTCTAAAGAAATTTTACTAACCATACGCATAGCAGAGGTATAAGTTCTTTGGTAACCCAACTGTTAAGTGCAGTTTTTAATGGGTACTTTTTACTGATGAACAAGAAAGAAAGAGAGAGAGAGAAGAGAAGAGAAGAGAAGAGAAGAGAAGAGAAGAGAAAAGAAGAGAAAGAGAGAGAGAAAGAAAGAAACTAAAGTTCTGTGTGAACTCAGGTGTACATACATTATTTGGGGAAGGGGGAGGGGCAGAGGGAGAGGGAGAGAGAGAATCTTAAGCAGGCTCCACATTCAGCACAGAGCCCAACTTGGGACTCAATCTCACAACCTTGAGATCATGACCTGAGCTGGAATCAGGAGTTGGATGCTTAACCAACTGAGCCACCCAGGCACCCCTGTACCAGTTTTAAAGTATACAATGTAGTAACTTTCTGTATATGCCCCATGTTGTACAACCATCACCACTATCTCATTCCAGAACATTTCTATCTACCTAAAAAGAAACCCCGTACTTCTCAATTCCCTCCTCCCCCCATTCCCTAGCAACTATTAATCTACATTCTGATTCTATGGATTTGACTATTTCTGTAAATGGAATAATAGAATATGTGACCTTTTGTATCTGAATTCTTTCACTTAACATAATGTTTTTAAGATTCAACCATATTATAGCATGTATCAGTACTTCCTTTTTATGGCTGAATAATAGTCCATTATATGGCTATATCACATTTGGTTATTCACACTGTTTACAACCATTTTCACTATCCATCTCCAGAATTATTTTCATCTTCTAAAACTGAAACTCATAACCACTGAACAATAACTCCTTTCCTCTCTATGAACAGCCCTGGCAACCAACATGCTACTTTCTGTGTCCATGAATTTGACTACTCTAGGTACCTCATGTAAGTGGAATCATAGAGATTTGTCCTTCTGTAACCAGCTTATTTCATTCAGTACAATGTTCCAAAAGTTCATCCATGTTGTAAGTTGTGTTGGAATTCCCTTCCTTTTTAAGACTGAAAAATATTCCATTGCATGTATATACCACATCTCTTTTATCCACCCGGTGATGGACACCTGAGTTGCTTTGGGTTATTGTAAATGGTGCTGTTGTGAACATGTGTGTACAAATGTCTGTTTTGAGTTCCTACTTTCAGTTCTTTGGGGTATATATCCAGAAGTGAAATTGCTAGATCATATGGTAATTCTGTTTTTAATTTTTAAAGAGTCACTATACTGTTTTCCATAGCCTGCACCATTTTACGTTCCCACCAATGGTGCACAAGTGTTTCAATGTCTCCACATCCTCACCAACACTTGTTATTTTGTGTTGTTTTCCTGGGCTTTGGCTTTCTTTTTGGTACTAGCCATACTAGTGTGTTTGAAGTGGAATAATGCCTTCTTAACAATAATCTATCCCTAAGTATTTCATTCTTTTTGATGGTATTATAAATGGAATTTTTTTTTATTTCAGTTTTGGATTGCTCATTGCTAGTGTACAGAAATACAACTGATTTTTTATATATTGATCTTGTATCCTTCAACTTTGCTGAACTGAACTGTTCTACGTATGTGTCTATGTATATCCCATTAATAAAAGTACCTATTGCTATGAGGATTAAATGTGTTAACTAACGCTTGTCAAGTGATAAGTACTGGGCCTGGCACATAATAAACACTAAAAAATTGTTAGACACTAAATATTTATTAGACAGTAAATATTTATTAAAGGCCTAGTACACACTTATCTGTAGGACCTGTACAGTGAACAAGACTGACAACAGGTGTCTTGGTCAATGTGGACTGCTTTAACAAATTACCACAGACTGGGTGGCTTAAATAACAAACATTTATCTCTCACAGTTCTGAAGGCTGGGAAGCCCAAGATCAAGGTGCCAGCAGATCCAGTGTCCGTTGAGGACTATCTTCTTGCTTTGCGCATGTCCTCCCTCTGTATCCTCACACGGCAGAGAGATATCATCGTCTTCTTAGAAGTTCACGAATTCCATCAATGAGGGCTCTACCTTTATGACCTAATTACCTCCCCAAGGCCCTTCCTCCAAATACCATCCCATTGGGGATTAGAGCTTCAACATAGGATTTTGGGGGGAGGGGACACTAACATTCAGCCAATAGCAACAGGTAAGATCTCAGATTTCATAGAGCTTACATGAAATATCCCAAAGACTTCATACTTGAATTGTTATTTTTCAGATTACTTCTGCTGGGAAACTATTTTTCATGGGTTTCTCATGTTGCTTCCCCTGTTGCAAGCAGAGGCACCGATGGCTCTATTTTCAGACTGTCTCCCTCTAGAGCAGAGAATACGTTTGTGTACTGTCTAGTTTAATACAGATAATATTCCCCTCCAGGCAAAAGTCAGGCAGAGGTTCTTGCAGACCACTACAAAAGATTTGAGTTTCTCAGGCCTGGGGTTCCTCAGCTGTGATAGTAAGCCAGGGAGTATACAGCGTTCACTCTGCATCTCCTCTGTGGGACCCAAGGAGCAAGGAGAATGGATGCGAAACTGAAACTCACACTGCTTGTTGTGCCACAAATAATAAAGTCCTTTGTCTCTGACTCAGGAGTCTTGCATCTTCTGCCAACATCCTCGCAAGGGGCTAACTTTGTTGATTGCAGGCAGGGTAAAATGTCAGACCCTTCACAGTTTTTGATAACTTCCATCCAGTATGCTGTTACAAAGGTATCTTCCTGAAACCTAATGTCTACCTAGTACATCTAAATTTCTTTATCTGGCTTTTAGGCTCCTCCATACCTCTCCAACTGAATTGTCCATCTCTTCCTGAAGAAGACCTACTTTATGGGCCAGGATTTTCAAACGTATAGGATCATGCTCATTTCTACTTCTTACATTGGGTTCCTATCTCCCTCACTTTGGAATTTCTCTGTCATTCCCTTTTCTCTTACTTAGTCAGTTCAAATCCATTTCTCAAGACCTGTTTCAAGTCTAAAACCACCAGGAAAAGTCCTTGTTGATCATCCTTTCTGTGAACATCTATAGTACTTAAAAATGTACACATGTAACATAGAGTTTGAGTACATATTATTGTCTAATATTATTTTCTAGAGGTTCCATGTGGGTATGCATTGTCTCCTCATTCTGATTGTAAGCAGGAAGCTGGGCACAAAGCAGAAACTGAATGTGATTGATTGAAGTGGGTAAATCAATGTGCACTGAAGCCAGAGATCCTAGAGGCAAATATCTACTACTTAATGGCTTTGTGACATTGGGCATATTATTTAACTTTTTTATGCCTCTGTTTCTTCATCTTTAAAGTGGCAATAATGATTGGGGCACCGGGGTGGCTCAGTCATTGGGTGTCTACTCTTGATTTCAGCTCAGGTCCTAGTCTCAGGGTCGTGGGATGGAGCCCTGTGTCAGGCTCCAAGCTGGGTGTGGAGCCTGCTTGAGATTCTCTCTCTCCCTTTTCCTCTGCCCCTCCTCCCCACTCTTTCTCCCAAAAAAAAAAAAAAAAGGGTGAGGGAACAATGATCATGATAATACCTATCTCATAGATTTGAGAATTAGTATAATACACATAAAACATAAATCAAAGATCAAGTTAGAAACATCACAGAATTTAATGCTGTGGAAACCCATGGAAGTATATAGTGTTACAGAGGATTTCACATCTGAGAAACCGTTCTGCTATAAACCACCAGGTAAAATTTAACAAGCCTTCTGTTTCACAAGAAAATGAAGAAGATATTCAAAGGTCAAAGATGAAACCATAGCCCAAACTCAAAGAGGAAGGTGAATGTTAAGCAAGGGGCTGTTCTAGAGCATTTGCTGATACACAGTAATTTAGAGCATTTGTTTTAATGGCCACTTGGAGGAAGCACAAAAAGTCTGGAGTCCAAGTGAGCTCAAGAGTAAGATTAGAGACCCTAACATTTCTCTGAGAGTTGCAAAGGATTACACATTCAGTGAATAGTTAAAGAGACACACACATACCTCCCAAAAGAATATAGTAAATAATAATAATATCCATTGAGGTATTTGGTACAGGATCTGAAAGTCTCCTTCATGAATTTTTAACCACACGTGAGACCCCAGATAAGTTTGGGGCCTGAGTTCAAATTTCCTCCATGTTCCAAAAACAAACAAGTCAAAAATTTAGTCAAAGTGGTCCAAGATTGGTAGTACCCAAGCATCTGGCGAAAGCAACCACAAATTCTCTCCACTCAGGCCTCTAAGAACTCCCACAAAGTTCCAAAGAATGTTAGCTCACAATCACAAATCACAAAATACATGAGGACACCAAATCCCCTGAGAGACACAGAAACAACATATAGGGGGAAAATTACCTTCCAAGACTTTAAGTATAGGTAGCAATGGTTATAGCATATTAAATAAGTTTGTATAGTATGTTTACAAAATAGGAGAATTAACTAAAAGTATAAGAATAAGAGACTAAAAAATGACCAGACATGTGTAGAAAAGAACTAAATAGATCTTCCAAAATGAAACAAATGTAATAATTGAATTTAAAACTCAGTGGACAGATTAAATAGTAGACTGATCCAGAAGAAGAATTTGTAAATTGAAAAACAAAGCTGAAGATAGTATACAGAATTAATGTCACAAAGATAATGGAGACAAAGAAAGATTAAGGAATATGAAGGACAAAAGAAACAAACCAAAAAGCCGCATAAAGGACAAAGTAAGAAAGCCAAATCTGTGTCTACTCAGTTTTCCAAAAGAGAGACTAGAAAGGAAGGAGAAGAGGCAATATTTCATGAAATAATGATCTTTTCAACAAATGGTGTTGGGCAAACTGGATTATTTCACATGCAAAAAAATGAAGTTGGGCTCTTACCTTACACCCATACACAAAAATTAGCTCAGAGTGGATCAAATCTCTAAATGG